TTTTTTTTTTTTTTTTTTTTACTTTTTTTAAGTGCCTGGTTTTGGCCCATTTCAGGATCCTAGCACATGATCTTTTCCTGCTACCCAAACCCGGATTGGCTACCTCTTATTTCGTCAAGTCTTAGCTTCAACGTCGTCTTGGGGGACGCCTGGGTGGCTCGGTTGGTTAGGCGTCTGCCTTCGGCTTGGGTCATGATCGCAGGGTCCTGGGATTGAGTCCCGCGTCGGGCTGCCTGGTCCGCGGGGAGTCTGCTTCTCCCTCTGACCCTCCCCCTGCTTGTACTTGTGCTCATTCTCTCTTCCTCTCAAAAATGAATGGAATCTTTAAAAAAAATAATAAACATCATCTTGGGGAAACTCTATGTCCCTACTTTACTAGCTTAGTCTCTCTATAGTGTATTCTCATACTGTCCTGTATTTTTTTCCTCCGTGACATTATCCCAGTTGAAATAATTAGTGTGTGGTGTTACTCATTTGTGCGTTCTCGCCGTAGGTTGTCACCTGCGCAAGTATAGAAACCATGTCTACCTTGTCCATCGCTGTATCCTCACTTTTTGGCAGTGTCCAGCACATAGTAGATGTTTGATAACTGGTGGAATTATGGTATGTGCATAAAATATTAGGGTCATTTTTTTTCTTTTTTCTTTTTTAGGTTAAAGAAAGACCTGATGTGGGAGTTTATATCAAAGATTTATCAGCTTACGTGGTAAATAATGCTGATGATATGGATAGAATTATGACACTAGGCCACAAAAATCGTAAGTGTAGTACAGAATTGTGATTGAACATTTGTGTATTGAGTAGGCTTTTAGAAGCAAAACTGGTATGGCACTTTGCCCCACAGAGACTGGATTTTTAAAGTTTCTTGACAACCCTTTCTCCTTGATTATTTACTATGTAGAGAACATACATGAATGAAAGAGATAACACATTGCCTTCTGTGCTGACCAAAATTTTGTTTCTTGGTAATACTGCTATATATTTGAAACTCATATAGCTAGTTGTCTCTTTTTAGCTATAATAATATTGGTTACATTTATTGAACACTTACTGTGTGGTGAGTGCTTGTGCTAAGTGCTTTCTTTATAAGAGTGATATTTTTAAAAATCTCAAACTGAACCATGAATGTACTAAATTCCTATTTTATGACTGAGGAAACCGAGACTTAGTCTAAGTAACTTGTCCAAGGTTATGTACTACTTAGTAAGTGGCAGAGTGAGTATCTGAACCTAGGCCATTGGTCATCATTAACCGAGCACTTTACTGACTCTCTTTTGTTGACAAGAAAAGCAAACCAAAATTAAATGACATTCTTTTTGTTTTATTTATTTTTAAAAGATTTTTTATTTGTTTATTTGACAGTGAGAGAGAGAGAGACAGTGAGAGCAGGAACACAAGCTGGGTGCGTGGGAGAGGGAGAAGCAGGCCTTCCAGCCGAGCAAGGAGCCCGATGCGGGGCTCGATCCCAGGACTCTGGGATCATGACCTGAGCTGAAGGCAGACACTTAACGACTGACCCACCCAGGCGCCCCTAAATGACATTCTTTTTAATAATATTTGAAGTTTTGTCTAAAGAATAAAAAGTTGCAGTGCTATTTAATACACAAAATGCCCCAGGCCTAATACTAGTGATGTTGCTAGCAGCAATTAGAGATCAGAGGTAAAGAACAAGAACATAGAAAGTAAACATTTTTTTAAAAGTGTTTTTTGGCTAGACTATAAATCTAGCAAACTCAAGGAAATTAAAGAAAAAATTAAAAAATCAGTTGCATTTTTATAAACCAAGTAGTAGAGGAAGGCCAAATTGCAACAGAAAAATGAGCAAAAGTTGTGCATGAATATGTTATTCCCAGAAGAACTATACATATCAACAAGCATACCACAGGATGTTCAATTTGACAAGTAATTGGGAACATGGGTATTAAAACAACAGTGGGAGATATTTTACCTGTTGTTTTGGATGAAGGGATATCCAGGTTCATAAAGCTCTGAAGAGATGGGCACTGGTGATGGGAATGTCAAGTGCTCCCGCCTTTTTGAAGGGGAGTGTAACAGTATCTGCTGAAATTTTTAAAATGCATTTCTTTTGATCCAGTGTTTCTAATTTGAATATGTATCTAGATACATATTGATATATCTATATTGGTAAATATCTAGAAAAATATCTTTAGACATAAACAATGACTTATTGAAACATTATTTATAATAGCAAAAAGTTTGATGCAGTCTAACTATCAGTAAAACATTGGTTATGTAAATTATGGCACAGAAATACTATGGACCGTAATGAAGCTATTAAAAAAAAGAGTTAAATCTACATGTAGAGAATCTTGAAAGATTTTCAAGATACATCGTTAAGTGAAAAGAAAGGAAATTACAGAATAGTATGTACTGCATCATCCCATTTATAGATGTGGAAAAAAGCCAAATTGTTGAACAGCTATGTATTTGGGCAGTGTGTGTGTGTGTGTGTGTGTATCAACTTGTGTGTATGTTAAACACTAGTGAAAGGACATTTAATAGTGGTTACCTTTAGGTAAGGGGCAGTAAGATTGGAGAACAGGGATATATGGAGCTTTTACTTTATGTTTTTGTATGTCTGTATTTCTGAATTTTTTTTATACCAGGAGTATATGCATGTATTGCTTATTCAGTAAAAAAAAATTTTGACTTATGATTCCATTCATAGTAATGATCAAAACCACCCCTTAAAAACAAAACAAAACAACAAAAAAACCCCACAAAAAACCTTCCATAAACAACTGAAACAACCCCAAAAGCTGCTATTTTAAATAGATGAAAAATTGGTACAAATATAAAATTAGTTCCTGTTTTGTCCAGGTGGTCATAGTATAGAAATAGTTAATTTTGCACTTAAGAAAATAAGCCTTTCATCCCATGAACAAATAGGTGACCTGCTTAGCAATTAAAATGCATTCAAAATAGTCACTTATATTTGCATTGTGGGCACCATTGTAAATTGGCTAATATTTCTGTAGAGCAGGGTTTTTCAGCCATTAAACCATTATCATTTTCTTTAAAAAATATTCTTTTTGAATAGGTAATCCATACACATGTAAAATTCAAAAGGCACTAAAGTATACATTGAAAAACAAGTCTTGGGGCACCTGGGTGGCTCAGTTATTAAGCGTCTGCCTTCGGCTCAGGTCATGATCCCAGGGTCCTGGGATCGATCGAGCCCCGCATCGGGCTCCCTGCTCAGCGGGAAGCCTGCTTCTCCCTCTCACACTCCCCCTGCTTGTGTTCCCTCTCACTGTGTCTCCCTCTGTCAAATAAATAAATATAATCTTAAAAAAAAAAAAAAAAAGAAAAACGAGTCTTTCTCCTACCCTTGGGTCTCAGTCACCTAGTTCCCACACCTGGTGGAACTCCATTACTTTGTCATGTCCCCTTCCTGATACCGTCTTTGTATGCCTAAGCATGTATTTTTATTTATTATTTTTTTAAGATTATTTATTTATTTGTCAGAGAGAGCACAAGCAGGGGGGCGGCAGGCAGAGGGAGAAGCAGACTCCCGCAGAGCAGGGAGCCCGATGTGGGACTCGATCCCAGGACATGAAAATATAGGAGATAATCTTAAGTGGAAAAGCCAGAAGATAAAATAATACTCCGTATGTGTATCACTACTGATCAGATGTTATGAAGTGGTGTTAGATTTTATTTTGTTTTTTTAAAGATTTTATTTTTAAGTAATCTCTGCACCTAATGTGGACTCAAACTTAAAACCCTGAGATCAAGAGTCACATGCTCTACTGATTGAGCAAAGCAGGTGCCCCTGGATTTATTTTTTAAGTATTTTTGGAAAAAATACATAAGTTTATAATATGATTTAAAAGAAAATTTGTGTGGAGTCACAAATCCTTGTATTTTCTTTCACTAATTTTTGTTTTATCTTCTTCCATTGGGCTTTCCTTTATGACTGCAGTTTACATTCTAATTATCTGACTTCTAATATAACCATATGCTAATAAAGAATACCCTTTTAATCTTCAAATTATAAAATCAGAGCCCTGCATGGAGAAATTCTGCATGAATATATAGTAAGAAGATAATTTTGACATTGGTTAAAATTAACAAAATGCTTTTCAAATACTTGGCAATTAAAAAAACTAATACATGCCTATTATAAAAAACAAAACAGACCTTTTTCTTTACATAATACATTTATGTAAAATATTTATACTTACATAAATACTTGGTATATTTTGAGTGGATGCTTTTGTTTAATAGAAATAGAATTGTACTATATATTCCTTTCTCTGTTTTTTTTTTCTTTTTAGTTCATACGTTATGGGTATCTTTCCACGTCATACATACAGATCTGTTTTATGTTTTTAAAGGACTGTTTAGTAGTCCATAGTATGACTATTTTTCTTTAGATTTTATTTATTTATTTAGAGAGAGAGCATGCAAGCAGGGGTCGGGGGGTGTGGGAGAGGAAGAGGGAGGGTTCGATCTCACGACCTAAGCCAAAATCAAGAGTCAGACACTTAACTGACTAAGCCACTCAGGTGCCCCATGACTGTTCTATAATAGATTGGCCACTGTCCTTTTGGTTGTTTCTGATCTCTTGATATTGCAAACAGTGCTGTACTGAATATCCTGTATCATCTCATGCATATATGCAGGTATTTCTGTGATTTAGATTCTCGGAACTAATACTTTTTAGAGACAGCTGAAACAGCAATAATTTTTTAAATTATTTAACTTTTTTTTTTTTAACCTAAGTTAGTTATTTTTTTTAGTCAGTAATACTCGGGATTGAAATTAAGTATTTTATCCTAAAATTACCTTTGTAGTATGAGAAACATTACAAATTCTTTTATCAACATAAATTGTCAAGAGAAATTTCTAATGTTAAATAAACCTATGCTTTTCTGGTTTAGCCATGCTCTCTGGCTCTTCGCTATGATGAAATTAAGTATTTTAAACCATTCTGGATATTTAATTATTTTTAAAAATACTCCCTCTTGTTATACCTTTTAAGAATTTCCTTCCTTTCTTCAAGGTTCTGTTGGTGCAACTAATATGAATGAACATAGTTCCCGTTCCCATGCCATCTTTACAATTACTATAGAATGCAGTGAAAAAGGCGTTGATGGTAACATGCATGTCAGAATGGGGAAGCTCCATCTTGTAGATCTTGCTGTAAGTAACAGGACGCTACTCAAGGAATAACTTGTGATTTTTTGCATTTTATAAGTGAATAAAAATTCAAGTGAGAATGTGTGATTTCCATACAGTTTTTAAGTTGTTTACTTGTGTATGTGTTTTTAATTTATTATTTATTATGGAATATTTCTAACTTCTAATGTCTACAAAAGTACTAAGAATAGTATGGTCTCCCATGTACCTATGACCCAACTTCAATCCGTTCACGGCCAGTTCTGTTTCATTTCTACCATCAGCCACTTTTTCCCTTCCTGTATTATTTTGAAGCAAATTCCAGATACCATAGCAGATTTTTTAGTGTCAAATTTTGTTTTAAACTTTCAGAGGAATATTCTGTATTTTTAATTTTAGCTTTATTTCTGTCTCTGTTTATTGCTAGGGTTCCGAAAGACAAGCAAAAACTGGAGCTACTGGACAGCGTCTAAAGGAAGCCACAAAAATCAATCTTTCGCTTTCCACCCTTGGTAATGTAATTTCTGCCTTGGTTGACGGAAAAAGCACTCATGTTCCTTATCGCAACTCTAAACTGACTCGTCTTCTTCAGGATTCCTTAGGAGGAAATTCAAAAACCATGATGGTAAGACTTAATTGTAGAATAATTATCATCAGGAAAATTTCAGATTCCTGTTTATGCCAGTAATTGCTATGCATAACATTTTTAAAACTATTGATTATTTCACTTGTGATTTGTGGTTATTCTTTTTCAAGTACGCTGTGTGTGCTAATCCATATAATGGTGTTTGGAAATCCATGTGGTTGATGCTTTCTTGTTCAAGAAGGCTAGAGGAGAACAACTATATTTCAAAAATTCTTTTTGATGTATTCATAATGGTAGTATTAATTTTAACTGCATCAAGTGTAAAATGTTTTGTATTCCTAATTCAACAGTGTGCAAATATTGGGCCAGCAGATTACAATTATGATGAAACTATCAGTACACTACGGTATGCTAACCGTGCTAAGAATATTAAAAATAAAGCTAGAATTAATGAAGACCCAAAGGATGCTTTGCTTCGCCAGTTTCAGAAAGAAATAGAGGAACTGAAAAAAAAGCTTGAAGAAGGTAACTTTTTCTCAAAATATTAATGTGAATGTTGGCTAAAAATATGTTGCTTAACCACGAGATGTTCTAATAAAAACAACTTATTAAAATTCTTTGAGCATCTAACTTCGATACTGAAAGCAATATTTCTGCAAGGTAACTTGATACACACTTTAGCATTTTCATATTAAGTTTAAGTATAATTATGCAATATTTGTGTATGTAATTTTTTAAAAATTCATTTAATTTAAACCTCCATCTCAGTCATCTCAGTCCCCATTTCCTTTTATAGATTTTATTTGGCCACTTACTAAATAATGAATTTTTTTTGTCTTTGTATAAGAGCAAGTTTTACCATATATGTATTTAGGTGAAAATGACCCAGAGTTCTTTGAGAAAGATTTCAGTCACTAATATTCAAAGTAAAGAAACCTATCAGAGTCATAGGTAAACAGAATTTACTATAAGTAAAAATTCATTGTGTGACTTTGAAAATATGCTTTCATGCTTAAATTTGAACATGAGATTCTGTTTGGGGAATCCTTTTCTAACAAGATGTTAGAAGGTTAGAAAGTCTGAAGACCTTGTTCATGAGGATGAGAAATTTACAGACTGTCTTTAAGTGCTCAGTGATGCTACACTTTCATGCTAAGAACTGATTGGCATAGGGCTCCTTTTCATACCAGGTAAACAAAAGGCTTCAGAATGGTTTTTTTTTTTTTACAGTTTGTGGGGAAACTGGATAGAACAGATGTGAGTTGCAGAGATGCCACCATCACAGATGTTTGGAAAGGGTACTGATTCAATAAACTTGAGTAAGATTTTTGAGGAAAAGCAGTAATTGAGCTGCCTCTTAGATAATGAAATTTGGTATTTTAAATATGACCACTAGGTGGTATTTATAGTCAATATGTTTTAAAGATTTAAAATTTCTTAGATTTGTTAATGTTCAGTTCACACCTTTATTTTGCTGCCTTTATTTTTTTACATTTTTTCATTGTGGCAAAATAAACCTAACATAAAATTTACTACTTTATCTATTTTTATTCTGTGGCACTAAGTATGTTAACATTGTTCTGTAACCATTACCGTCATCCATCCCTAAAACTTTTTAATCATCCCCAAATGAAGCTCCGTACCCATTAAACATTAACTCTCCATCCCCCTCTCTGCCTCAGCCTCTGGTAACCACTATTCTGTCTCTGAATTTGACTATTCTAGATAACTCATATGAGTAGAATCATATAATACATGTGCTTTTGTGTCTGGCTTATTCTACTTAGCATAATGTCTTCAAGGTTCATCCATATCATAGCATGTGTCAGAATTTCCTTCCTTTTTAAGGCTGAATAATATCCCATTGTTTGTATATACCACATTTTGTTTATCCATTCATCTTTTGGTGGACACATGGGTTGCTTCTGCTTTTTGACTACTGTAAATAATCTGGCTATGAATGTGGGTGTACAGATATGTGTTGAGTTCTTGCTTTCAGTTCCTTTGAGTATATACCCAGAAGTGGAATTGATTGATCATGGGGTAATGCTGACTTTATTTTTAAGACATTTCATTTCATTGATGCTTATGACATTTGTTTTTATAATCCAGTTAACAGTTGAGTGTTATAATATGGTAAATATAGTTGATAATATAAACAATAAAAATCAGGCAAAAACATTAAAAGAATAATTTTTGAAAATTTTTATAGACTTCTAGAAAACTTGGAAGTATAGTGAGTTCCTATATACTCATCACCCAGCTTCCCCTTATGTTAACATCTTATATGACTGGAACATCTTACATTGAACATCTTACAGTTATTGGAATCAGGAGTTTTACATTGATACTGACTTATTAACTCATCTATCAATCTTATTCAGATGTTGAGTTTGCCCTCTAGTGCCCTTTTCCCTAGTCCAGGATGCAGTCTAGCATCACATAGTGCATTTAGCTGTCTCCTCTAGTCTCCAGTTCCTCATCTTTCTCTGTCTTTCATGGTCTTGATACTGTAAAAGTTATATATTTGTAGAATGTTCCTCAATTTGGGTCATCGGTAGTTCTCTCATAAGTATTCTGCAAGGTTTCTTCACTCTAAATTCTATAATTTTACATTTTCCTTTGAACTTAAGGTGTGTCTTGTGGTGAGATACTTTGAAACTACTAAAAGGTCCTGTTTCTCATATTTTTTCCCACTAGTTTGAGCATCCATCAGGGGTTCTTGCCAGCAACAATAATTCTGTGGCATTTGCTCCTTGGTGACTTTGTCTTCTCAGCATCCTTTTAATGTTTAATGTTTGGAATTCTGTTGTAAGGGGGAGTAGTCCCTCCTCCCCCATTTGTTTATTCAATTATTTATTTATGTCAGTATTGACTCATGGATATTTATTTTAGTCTGTGCATTATATAATACAATAATATCATTATTTGTTTTATTGCTCAGATTGTTTGAGCTTTTGCCATAGGAGCTCCTGAATTCAGGGTAGTTGCTACATCCTTTCAGCATACTTCCATCAGTTTTTTGATTTTTGGTTTTGAGTGCTTCTTTATTTCCGGCACCACAGATGTTTCTTTTTTTCTTCTTCTTCTTCTTCTTCTTTTTTTTTTTTAAGATTTTATTTGTCAGAGAAAGTGTACAAGCAGGGGGACCAGCAGGCAGAGGGAGAAGCAGGCTCCCCGCTCAGCAAGAAGCCAGATGCGGGAATCGATCCCAGGATCATAACCTGAGCCGAAGGCAGATGCTCAACCGACTGGGCCACCCAGGCATCCCTTAGGCTCATTTTATACGTTCCCTACCCTGGCATAAAACCATCTATTTCTCCCTAGCTCCTTTTTAGTGGAGAATGGTATTTATTTATTTATTTATTTTTTAAAAATATTTTATTTATTTATTTATTTATTTATTTGACAGAGAGACACACAGTGAGAGGGGAACACAAGCAGGGGGAGTGGGGGAGGGAGAAGCAGGCTTCCCATGGAGCAGGGAGCCCGACATGGGACTCGATCCCAGGACCCTGGGATCATGACCTGAGCCAAAGGCAGACGCTTAATGACTGAGCCACCCAGGCGGCCCTAGGGGAGAACGGTATTTAGAAACTAAGACTTGGGCATTAGGTGCATTCATTACAACCAGGGTGTCATTGTTACTAGGCCTAAAGAAAATATTTTTAATGAATTCTTTCTCCCAATATGCTTATCTCTTCCTATCCATTATTTACTGGTTTAGATATTATCATTTGTGATTATTGTATATTTATTTTTCTCCCCAAATACCTGTTTTTTTAGACATTTCATATACAGACAGTGTTATTTTTAAATAACTGTTTTGAAGGTAATATAGTACTGATCTGCATTATTAGTTTAATTATACCCTTTGATTTTTGTTTTTAAGTTATTATACTCTTTGTACAAATAAGCCCTTCTTCTTTTCTTTTGATATAGTCCTGAAAGTGGGATCACTGTGTTAGATGAGTTTTATGATTTTTAAAAAATACGCAGGTTGAATGAATTTTTAAAAATCTTAAACAGAGGGGTGCCTGGCTGGCCTAGTTGATGGAGCATGTGACTCTTGATCTCAGGGTTGTGGGTTTGAGCCCCATGTTGGGTGTAGAGATTACTTAAGAAAATATTTAAAAAATAAAATCTTATACAGAAAACTGAGGAGAAAATGCTCCCCCAAAGTGATTCCTTTTTTAAAAAATTGAAATAATGACTTTAACTTGAAATTTTTATATATACGTAGAACTTTATTTAAACTAATGATTTGAAATTGTAAGTAGATCAGAATTTATTTTTGAAAGATTTTATTTATTTGAGAGAGCAAGAGAGGGAGCACAAGAAGTGGGGAGCAGCACAAGCAGGAAGGGAACAGGAGCAGGTAGGTGCAGCAAGGCTCCCCGCGGAGCAGGGAGCCGGGTGTGGGGCTCCATCCCAGGACCCCGGGATCACGACCTGAGCCGAAGGCAGGTGCTTAACTGACTGAGCCACCCAGGCGCCCTTTAAGTAGATCAGAATTTAACTTCTCTTTAGGAACTTTAAAATAAAGCCTCTGTGTACATTATATCTTTTCCTGAGGTTAGCATGTGATATACTGTTTAGGAATATTAAAATACGTTTGGTTTAGGGCCACAAACTTAATGGCAGGCCATAACCTGGCATAGAATATAAATTGATTTGTAAAATTTTGTTCAAGGGGAAGAGATATCAGGCTCCGATATCAGTGGATCGGAGGAGGAGGATGATGAAGAGGGCGAAGTTGGAGAAGATGGAGAGAAAAGGAAAAAAAGAAGGGGTAAGTTCTTTTTAGTGTTCTAGAAATTAACTGGGGTTGCTACCTCATATGGTTTAACATTCATCTGAGTGCATGCCTTTTGCCATTTTTAGTTATGGTAGCAATTCACACAGAGGATATATGCCATATATGTGATTAACTTCGCCTTATATTTTTCTCCTCTACTGATCTCCTACTTACAGTTGAATCATAATGCCATATGTTCTTTTACAGTTTAGAATTGTAAAAATCTGTGACAGTGGTTATACCATGTAAAGATTTCATTCAGGGTTTTAATTTTATGTGGGGACTTGGATTTGTGTTGGGAACCTAAAATTTTTTTTAGGAAATCAGGATAATGCGTGTTTCTCAAGCATGGTTAGGCTTTAGAAGTCACTGAATTTTTAAATGATGGATTTGTATGAGGATTCTATTTTTTTAATTTAATACTTTGCATTATAAAATGTACTTTCATTCTTACCCTTTTATGGGGCATTTGTTGCCAAGTGTGAAGTAAGTTTGTATTTATTATGATAAAGATATAGATAACAGGCAAAAGAGAGAGACATATTATAATGGCCCACTTTTCAAATGTTTTTGCTCTTCATGTTTATTTGTTTCAGAACTCTCTTCCATTAATGTGGATCATTAATATGTGGATCATTGTTTTCAAGCTGGTGCATATTTTGCTTGTCTTATTAAAATGATCTTGCTGAAAATAAACCCAGGACTCCCAAATTTTAAAACCAAAGGTTCTGTAACTTCAAAAGACAGGAAGAGCATGATTTAGAGTAAGAGCATGATTTAGAGTAGAACTATAGTCTACTGGCCCACCACCTGTTTTTATAAAGAAAATTTTATTAAACATCCATGCTCATTTGTTTGTAGATGATGTACAGCTATTTTCTGATGAGGCTGTATGGCCCACAAAGCCTAAAGCACTTATTATCTGTCCCTTAACAGAAAATGCTTGCTGACCCCTTATTTAGATAAATGGTTTTGTGTTCATACCTATTTTTTCATAGACTGTTCATAGCTAAAGCAGATCATAGATTTGTTAAAAATAAAATTTAAAATAGAAAAAAATGCTATTGCTTAATATGTTAAAATATTGATTAGTAGGATACCTTCCTTCTAGGCTTAGAAATTTTAAAATTTTTAGTGAGCCTTTCACAGTTTTGCCGTGAAACCTGAAACATACGTAATTATATCCAATTGCTTGATGTTTTGGTGGAGAGTAAAATTGGAGACAAGCCAAGCTATCTGTGATGAAGGGTAACTCATCATTCCTATAGTTTTAATTGTGCATAACTTTAAATTTTAAAACTCACTTCCTGTAACTTACCAGGTAAATAGTTTAAATAGACTTAAACGTCACCAAATGCCTTGTTTTTTATTCCTGTCATTCCAAGCCTCTGAGTAACTGCATTGTAAGTGGGCAGTGGGGTTTGCCCACCGTAGACACTTAAAGGAACCCAGTTTCTAACTGCCCCGTCTGGCTTTGTAACTAGAGAATATTGGGTGGTCTACCAAGGCTGGTATTAAGGGAAAGTGCATTTTGGTTCTTTAATGCAAAGCGTGATTGTTCTTTAAAATTCTTTCTGTGGAACTGAATTTTCCTCTGTGTATGTGTTCATTTTCTTGTCTCCTCTTCCTTTGGCTCCCGTCGGGCTCACTTCCTTGTCTTCCAGGCAGTAGCAGTGGCAGTAGCTCAGACTCTACATGCTCTGTCATAGAGAAGCCTCTGGATAAGTCCTTGCCCAGTGAGTGCTAGCTCTTACATTCTCTCACGGAGCTTTGGCTTTCCCATCACCCATGGGCTTCATTTCAGAAATGCTGCGCTGCTCCCCGTCATTACTTAAAGAGTACATGTTGGACTTCTCAGAACAAAGCATGTGATGATTTCCCCCTTCCTCATTGCTTCCAGTTAACTGTAACTGTTAAAACGTGTGCTTAATGCTTATGTTTGAGACAATGGAAGAGAGATTCGTGCTTTTGCAATTGAGATAATGTAAAGAGAGCTAGTAAGCTGTCTGAAAGAATAATTCTTACGGTTCCTTTTTATGTTTCAGGATAAATTTCCAATCCTGGTCAGTATAAGGGACGTGCAGTAATGAAGCCTGAATTTCTAAAAGTACCGATTACATTTGGCAACACACCAATGCCCATTATAACATGTCTTAAGTTATAAAGATTTTATGCTTTGGTGTCCTACTCTTAGGGGTAGCTTAAGATTGAAAGCTCCCAAAGTTTGAAGCAAGTAAAGATACATTGGATAGTATTTTATTTCAAATGGCCACTTTCCTCTGTTTCTCAACTACCTGCTTGATTTTAAGAAACTTTCTAAGCTATGATTAGAGAATTCAGATCCACAAGAAGTTAATGCAGGATCTGTCTAGACGTATTTCAGTCATAAAGCCTTTTTCTTAAAACTTAAATCAGTTGAAAAGTATTACTAATTTAATTTATATTTTTAGAAGAAAAGGGAATTGATTTTTTTTTCTACTAGATTGCAGCTTACTGCCTTTTAAAGCATTATCTGTGTACTTTTCCAAAAGTAGTAACAAACACGTTTGGTTATTCTTAACGCATTTAGCTTTCTAGAGGAAGAATTCCAAGAATATTAGGAATTGTTTTCTCTCTTGACAATTCTTACATTTTACCAAAACAATTAATTTTATAGGACAATTTATTAAATACAAGAAATTGCTTTAGAAACCATATAGAGATATTATTTTGTATTATAAACAGTCAGATATGAGAAAATACCTGAGTGGCATTATAATTTAAGTTTCGGTTTTAAAATTTACCTTAATCTTTAAAGAGTAGTTATATGAAAGTATGTTATGAAATGAGTTGTACTTGGTTCAATTCATGGAGTTTTGGTTACTGTTTGTGTACCTAGCACATAACATTAAGTTCTTCTGTTGTGATGTGGGCGTATTGGTGAAGTGGAAAAATGGTTTTCCCAGCATGTGGTTGCTGTGTGTAACTTATATGTATCTTCCCTTTTAAAAATACGAATGGCTTTTTTTTAAGGTGTTCTTTGCTTGAATCATCAGTTGATCATTTACCTCAATGGAATTATAATTACCCTTAACAATCTACTAATGGATTGAATGCAAGTTCGTTAGTATACAGGTGTACTTCACTTTATGCAATTAATTTTTTTTCTGAAAAAATTGCTTATAAATCACATTGGAAAATCAAATCTGTTCGGAGAACTTGCTGTCCTTAATATTTCTTCATTAAATCCTTTTGTTAATCAAATTATCACTGCAGATTACTGTAATCCAATTTATCTCTTTAGTTGATTGAGGTTTTTGTGTTGGATTTTCTTAAAGGGGAGGCACACCTGTATGGGATCTTTATATTAGAACATTGAATTGGGAAATTTTAGAAATTCACAGTGCAAATTTTGCTACTTTTAACTTACTGATTTTTCAAATTGGCATAATTTTCTGTTTTGTCCTTTTACATTACTTCCCAGATCTTAGCAGGTTCCCAATTCCATGTGTACCATTAGTATAACCACTTGGTGCTGAACTGTTATATTTGCAAAAGTCTGGGAGTCATTGTGAGCTCTTGAGATTGATTTGAATTGTAATCTTAGTCTAAATTAATGTTATTTGCTTTAATTACATCTCTGATTGTGTTGAATATGTTTTTCTTTTTACATAAAGCTGCTCTTTTTCAGTTTTGATGATTTATTTCTATATTTATACTATAAATAAATGCTGTTAAACATTTTTCTTTGTTTTACAAAGGAAATAATGTTTTTCTTTTTTTCCTCTTCATCTCTGTGCATATGCTTCCTGTCTACGATATGCTTACTACTCTTACTGAAAGATCAAGCAGGTTGGTGTGATTGATTTGCACTCCACATGGTACAATTATTTAGACTATAAAGAACTTTGTTATTTAACTACATTTTTTAAATTTAATAGTTTTTTTTCAAGGTAAGTATCTGTCTTTTGTATTTAAAAAAATCTTTGAACATTAGCTCTTTTTTTTTTTTTAAACTTTTTCTCCTAAATTAAAAAAAAATTCATTTCAGTTTTTGGTCAGGAAGCTATTAGGAACATTCTTGTTTCCAAATGATGTTTTTAGAAGAACAATTCAGAAGTATTAGATTGACAGTGACAACCATACTGGATTCTCTAGACCTAATTGACAAAATAGACAAATATAACACCAGAACCAGATGACATGATCTTTTTTCCTAAATTTTTAAAGACCTGTTAAACCAAATTTAGGAATTACAAATTTAAATGATTTTCACTTTCAAGCTTTTTTTTTTTTTTTTTTTAAGCAAGGAGTCAAATGCCTGGTTACTTATGTTCATAGGTGCTCATGTAATGACAATAAAATTAATTCAGTTAAGTCTTCCCAAAATTCTTCCCTTTCACTTTATCTTGCCGAAGTTCATTTTGGCAGTTTTGGTTGGGACACATGGCAAAGAGCAACTAAAAGTATTACTACTCCTGTTTGGCTTAATTAAATACTGTATGATATCACCATTTTTTTAAAGATTTGTTTACCTGAAATTTTGTGAATTGTGTCATGCAGTATCAGAAGAAGGATTTTTGGTTGGTTTGGTTAAGATTTTTAGAAAATCAATCTAAAAGTGACTTTTAGTGGTGTCATGATTTTAAGTGCCTGCTTAGGAAAGTTGGAATATATTCACCCTCAGCCTAACATATTATTTGGAGAGAAATACAGTGATTTATCTGAATAATATTGACTAGAAATTATGTTACTTAAATATTAAACTTTTGAAACTGAACCTAGCTATAAATGCATGGTCATCTCTATGAGAATGTTGTAAGAGCACAGGAAGATTTTTGCTGCTAAAGCAGAAGTTGGAAAATACTACGTGAATGGTTTTTAATAACTAATGCAATTCAGGCCTAGTAGTAATTCATCAACAGGTTGTGCTTTTGTATTTCTACATGTAATATCTTTTTATTTTACTGCCTCTTAATGGGGTTGGAAACTAGGTTTTTAACTGTTAACCAAACAATTAGAACCCTACATGCCTAAAAATTAATGTGCATATGTTTATCAGATCATTTCCATTCCACTATACTGTTAGTATCCATGTCTTCAAGGTTTTTCTATCTTAACATACTTGCTATTTTTTCTTTAAATATTTGTAATTCTGAGGTAGAAAGTAAGTTATAATTTTTTAATGCATGCACTTTATTTATTTTTAAAGATTTTATTTTTACATCGTCTCTATACCCAGCGTGGGGTTCAAACTCACAACCCCAAGATCAAGAGTCAGATGCTCTACCAGCTACACCAGCCAGGCACCCTCTGCATGCACTTAACTTTATACTTGAATCTACACTTTCCCCCCTCAAATTTCTAAGAAATAGTACTACTGATTAGAAATCCTTTCTAGGAGTTCACTGTGAACAAGAATCAGATTACGTTTTAAAATTATTTTTTTAACAGCATAAATCAGAACATTTAATATAGGTGACTGTGCCAAAGAAGCCAGCATATTCAGGTCTACATCCTGACTTTTGGAATGCAATGAATCACACCACACCAAAGCATGAATTTGGATCAGTGCTCTTATTTACTCTTTTATTTAACTGACTTGTTTTGTGGCTTAAGTTCGCTTTGGACTTTTATTTCTATAGAAATGAGGGGTAATGTATTTCAAACCCTTGGGGTTTTTTTTTTTAATATAATTGTATCCTAAAGATTTAAAGTCTATGAATAATTCTTCATCTCATAGTTCCTGAAAGTATATATTCAGATATATATCTGCATCATCATTTTTCAGTTCTCTTTCCTTGTTAGCAGGAGGGGCTCGCTTTTGGGTGGAGGCATTAACAATTTATAAACTCCTCTGGTTTACATTCTTCTGTGGTCCTTTGGGAAGGAAGTTAAGAATGACAGAAAGCTTTCAGGAGAGCTTCACACCAATTCTACGAAAAGTTTGATTGTTTTTCTAAAGGAAAGTGTGTTTCAAAGAAATTGTATTACCAGAAATGAATTCTATTTGATTCAGTTTCATAACCAGTTTAATAACCTAGTTTTTTATTTTCTCTTTTTGATTTCTCATTTTAATTTCATGATTTTCAAATTCATTCAGTAAGCTTTTATTGAACATCTGTTGTGTGTATATGAAACACTCTACTAGGCACTATAGTCAGAATAATCAATTGGAAGCTGTATTTCCAGCTTTATTATTTGGTAGTATTTCTACTTATATTTGATACTTGGCATATTTAAAATGGCTTAGGTTTGGGATCCTGAGTTTGACATAGTAATGAGCTATTTTAGTTGCTCATTTAAGATATGATGATAGATCATGGTAGCTCAGCAACTTTATGTAAAATGCCTGGTTAATTATAATATAACCATTATGTAATTAGTATAAAACTTCGTCCTTTAAGGTATACTATGAGATGAAATACTTCCAAATAATTTTATTAGACATAAATTTTAGAAAAACGCTGAAGATACATATTAGAAACTTGCTATTTTGCCTGACACTTTTATCTGTGCAATTTATGTCTATATGTGACTTCTGTTTATTCATTTATTTTAGTAAGTTTTGGGGAGGCATTTTGGGAGGCCACTTGATTTTGTACCTAGTTATCAGAAAAAAGTAACTAAATAATTATACTGCTTTTTTGAACAGATATCTTATTTGGGGACCCATAGATCCTTTGTTTTTTTTTTAATTTATTTGGCTTTCCTTTATTAACCTTTCTCTTTTTTTTTCCTACTTACCTGTTTTGCTTCTCTTTCACATACTTTTGTTCTTAGTTATCATCGCACAGTTACACAACATTTTGTTTAGCAATTAGTTAAAAAGTTATTCTAGGAACATAATAAATAGAAATAAAATATTTATTTGATTTCCTTAAAATGTTGTATTTTGTATTATTATTATTGAGGAATGTGTCTTTATAATTGAAGATAATTTACACAAATCTGAAAAATTGGCTCCAAAGTGATTGTTGGAATTAAATGACTCATATAGGTAAAAAGAAAGTATCCCCAGATAAGATGGTTGAAATGCAAGCAAAAATTGATGAGGAGAGAAAAGCACTTGAAACAAAGCTTGATATGGAAGAAGAAGAAAGAAACAAGGCTAGAGCTGAATTAGAGAAACGGGAGAAAGATCTTCTTAAGGCCCAGTGAGTATTACTTAATTGAGATGGATTCATGATTTAAATTTCTGGTATTTTTCATAGGATATATAAGAAAAAATTGAATAGTAGTTAAAAGCTTGATTTTTGTCTCTCGAATAGCTTTTTTGGATAGAGGGTTTTGTTGTATGTGTTTTGTATCCAAAAATTATATCTGTTTTTATTATTTCATCTCTATGTAGGAGGAAAAATTATCAGTGAACTTGGATGTTATAGATTAAATCATAAGTTAATTTATACTACCCTGTGATATAATTTGATAGAGGTGTTACATAATTTTATCCCAATTTTAAAATTTTGCCTCACAGATACCTGTAAAGTTTTGGGAAATGATATTGGTAGAATAGTAGATAATTGACGGATATTCTCATTTTTAATCAACAGACAAGAACATCAGTCTTTGCTAGAGAAATTATCTGCACTGGAGAAGAAGGTAATTGTGGGTGGTGTTGATTTGTTGGCAAAAGCTGAGGAACAAGAGAAACTTCTTGAAGAATCTAATATGGAACTGGAAGAACGAAGGAAAAGAGCAGAGCAACTTCGCAGAGAACTTGAGGAAAAAGAGGTAATGTGACTTTCTGGTTTTGGTTGACACTTTGCCTTAAGTATTTAAGTCCTCTAGTGAAAAGCTTTATATCTATCATCTTTAATTAATTAAGTGTAGTGGACACACAGTGTTACACTAGTTTCAGATGTACAACATAGAGTGGTTAAACTTCTCTATATGTTATTCTGTGCTCACCACAAGTGTAGCTGCCATCTGTCACCGTATAATCCTATTACAGTACGATTGACTATGTTCCCTATGCTGTACCTTTCATCCCCATGACTTATTCCATAACCAAAGTCCTGTACCTCCCACTCCGCTTCACCCATTTTCCTGTCTCCCCCAGGCCCAACCATCAGTTTGTTTTCTGTAGTGATGGGTCTGTTTCTGCTTTTTGTTTGTCTGCTTGTTCATTTGTTTTGTTTTTTAGATTGCACATATAAGTGAAATCATATGGTATTTATCTTATATCTATAATCTTAATTAAATTTTAAAGCAGATCTGTGAATTGCTTTGAAAGATAATAGTTGCTAAACATTTTTATCATTTGTTAAAAAATTAAATTTTTGGTTTAATGAAGAAAATTACTCTAAAGTTTATCAATTTTTGTTGTAGCAAGAACGCTTGGATATTGAAGAAAAATATACCAGCTTGCAAGAGGAAGCACAGGGAAAAACCAAGAAATTAAAGAAAGTTTGGACTATGCTGATGGCTGCCAAATCAGAGGTTGGTCTCCTAGAAATTACCTACAAAGGTAGCTCTGAATTAAAAAAAAAAAATCTTTGAGTAAGTATGATTAAGAATCCTAAAGAGATCTTAATGTATGCTTACAATAAAGAAATAACATTTTCTCCTTTGTGTGCAATTTCAAATTTTAGCTATTAAGCTGTATTGTATATTTTCAACCTTAATAACATGGAAATAGACAGTGATGGATAGTGTCATTCTGTCCATTGTTTGTTGAAGGAACTGAGTAAGTTCTTACAGGATTTCTTAGGCTAGTGCCTTTATCAGTTGAAATTATTTTATATTTAAAATCTTGTTTGCCCTTAATATGTTTTTTTTAAAGATTTTGTTTATTTATTTGACAGAGAGATAGCAAGAGAGAGAACACAAGCAGGGGGAGTGGGAGAGGGAGAAGCAGGCTTCCTGCTGAGTAGGGAGCCCGATGCGGGGCTCGATCCCAGGACCCTGGGATCATGACCTGAGGCGAAGGCAGATGCTTAACGACTGAGCCACCCAGGCGCCCCTGCCCTTAATATTTTTATTGATTTTTTGGTAGATGGCTGATCTCCAACAGGAGCACCAGAGGGAAATTGAAGGCCTACTGGAGAATATTCGACAGCTTAGCCGGGAGCTCCGGCTTCAGATGCTTATCATTGATAACTTCATACCTCAAGATTATCAGGTAAGAGGGAAGTTCTCTGTTCTAGATATTATATCACTGGCTGGGGTGAAGAAATAAGGAATGTAAATTATAATTTAATTGATGGTAAATATCTCCAGTTCAGTTGTTGACAGTAAAATTTTCTTGAACTAATGCCATCACATTTCACTTCAGCTGTTAACTTTTCTTAATACATAATTCTATGAGTATGTAAGTAAGAATTTCTCAGCCCGGCACATTCTGCGTGGAGCACTGGGTATTATGCACAAACAATGAACCATGGAACGCTATATTAAAAACTAATGATGTAATGTATGGTGATTAACATAACAATAAAAAATTAAAAAAAAAAAGAATTTCTCAGCCCGTTGGAGGAACCCAGATTTATATAATTGCATTTAGAATCAAGGTATAGGTCCTAGTTATACATTCAATATAATTAATCCTATAAATAGAATAAACAGAACTCCTTTGCTAATTTTTCTCCCTGCTTATGGATACCAATTGTGTGTGTGTGTGTGTGTGTGTGTGTGTGTCTATGTATGGCGTAGTGTGGTGTATATGATAAAATAAACATAACATGAAATTTACCTTTTTAAACTATTTTTAAGAATACAGTTCAGGGGCGCCTGGGTGGCTCAGTTAAGCGTCCGACTCTTGATTTAACTCAGGCATGATCTCAGAGTCGTGAGTTTGAGCCCTGCATCCAGCTCTGTGCTCAGAGGAGAGTCTGCTTGATATTCTTTTTCTCTCTCTGCCCTTCCCTCCTCTCTCCCTCTCTCTCTCCAAAATAAATAAATTTTGAAAGAAAAAAAAAAGAATACAGTTCAGTGACATTAAGTACACCCACAGCATGTTGTCCCTGCTATCCATCTCCAGGTGGATGCTGATTCGTAATTCTAGTATAACTTTAAAATCTCAGCATTTCTTTTTCTTTCCTCAAAATTTCTATTTTTCTAATACACTTTAGTAAACCTTAACATACTGATTTTTCAAAAAAATTTGAGTATATAAAGATTTTTTTCTGAAAATAAGCCTTAATATTTTTTTCCTTTGGACCTCAGGAGCACAGAATTAATTATTGGTTCATGGTACATTCTTCTTCTTGGTCTTTGGATGACCTGCCTTTATTTAGTTGGTTAGTTTTGTTTGTTTGTTTGTTTTGGTTATTTTGTAGTAAACTTGTCATCAATAACAAAAGCTAATACCACAACAGTAACCTACTTCTAACCAAATGGTTTCCCTCTTCCCTCTTCCATCCCTTTGCCTCTTCCAACTCAAGGTAACCATCATCCTGAATCCCATGTTTTTCATGTTCTTTCCTTGCTTTTTATGTAAGAATATAGTTTACTTGCATTTACATGTATTTTTTCAAAGTCTGTATTTTTAAATATATAAAAAAGTTATAATGCAGTATATAATGTTTTGAGGCATCTTTTTTTTACTTAATATGTTAAAATTTTAGTTTTGTGAGTATTTTCCAGTATTTCAAATGTTATTAAATATTAAAAGTAGACCATCTTTGATTCTTAAAAGGAAATGATTGAAAACTATGTCCATTGGAATGAAGACATAGGAGAATGGCAGCTAGTGAGTATTTATCTTCATCCTTCCATGAAATACTTAGGGAGTGTTTCCTATAGACTGGGTCTGTGCTGGCTGTGAGGGGAGAAAGGTGGTCCAGAGAATGAATCAGATGACAATCCACTAGGGTGGATAAGATGTTTTCCTAATTAACTATATCATAACACACAAACTTTTCAGGGGAAATGGTGTAGTTTGGGGCTTCATAGGACTGTATGACCTGTAAATCCCTTTCTTTTCCAGCATTCAAATTTCGAGCATGTTTTATGAGTGTAACATCAGTACATCTCATAGTAATTTGCCTTATTTATAGTACTAATTGCTAATTAAGACATTTTTCCTCCCTCCCTTTTTTTTCCTTTTTTGAGAAATGTGTTGCCTACACAGGAAATAACATGAGGAAGCAGACTCCAGCTCCTGATAAAAAAGAGAAAGATGTAAGAGTGCTTTTTTTTTTTTTTTTTTTGGTAACTACAGTTCCTTTATTAGGAATTGGGTCACTAAATTCTGTTATCAATATGATATAAAACAATCAGCTCTGCTGAAAAATAGGTGGATCTCTTGGGAAGAGAAGCCCCAGGAGGGGTGATAGAGGACCTTTCTGCTCTCCTCAGTCATGAGGGCAGGCTTATGCTTTGTACGACACGAGGGGCATGGCGGCTTCTTCAGAGCACTCTTTGCCCCCTCTCCAGGCTTTGGGGGGATAGTTAGAGACCAGAATGGGACTGTACTTCTGCGAACTAGACCTAGACTTGGGTCAGCAAGAGCAGCAGTTGCAGGGAAAACAGCAGCAGTCCCCCTTTCCTGTAAAGGAATTTATGGTTTGTTGGGGCTTCTTATTTACCACCCCTTGGTGAATACATCTGAGACAAATGGCATTAGAAGAAGATATCCTTAGACATTTCTTTGGTCTTGTGTTCTGCAGGTTTTTTCTAGGAGTTTATTCAGTTTTTTACATCTTCCCCCCACATCTGGTTTAAATCCTTCCTATAAGAGTGTCTTGTGTTTTTTCCCTTTACTTAGCCCTTTGAAGTGGACCTTTCCCACGTGTATCTTGCCTACACTGAGGAGAGCCTCCGGCAGTCCTTGATGAAATTAGAGAGGCCACGGACTTCGAAGGGGAAAGCAAGGCCTAAGACAGGGCGAAGGTAAGGACTGCCTTTCAGTACTAGGAAATAAAGGCAGCAGGATATTCTAATTAGACACATTTAGAGGAAATTTAGTTGTAATAAGTATTTTAGCTGTATTAAAAAGATGCATTTTAGATGTATTTAAATAAATATCAGAGTCCTTACGTAGTTATGATTTGAGTAAGTGAAAACTAAAGAATTAAGTCTTCCAACTTCTTTAGCCCTCCTCAGTAACAGAGTTTATTTTTAATTTACTTTGTTCTATCCAAATGTATTAGAAGTCATCTATTATCTTAATCCCTTAATTCTTAATAGTAATTCTTCTAGTGAGATGCTGATTCATTTGCCTGGTCGACTCCCAAGGTCTTGTATTTGCTGCCTTGCTTTTCTATCACAAACTGCCCCAAGAACCTTGACCTTCTCAGTCACCAGTTAAAGAAAACTTGTCTGACCATCTTTCCCTCTCCTTTGAGTACTGGTTTTGACTGTTGAGTAGTCTATATGTATCATAACAAGCCCAGGGAAATCGGGGATAGAGCTTATTTCTTCTCTCCCTTCCCTACATCAAGTACTATTCTGCTTATTTAAACCGATTGTAATACTTGGGGCTCCTGAAATGATAGGAAATAATAAGCTTATTTTTCCCCCTACTTTGAGTATAGAGACTTCTGAGTTACATGTAAGATAAAGTTGTATGGTTTTAATATTTTTGTGTTACATAATATCATAGATGTAGCCTAACATTTATAAATTTGGTTTAGTTGAACTCAGGAGGAATCAATAGCATTTTAAAAGTGTACGAGTTTTTACCTTTTTTAGCATTTAGATGCCAGTTGTTAAAAACTTTTCGATTGTCACCAGAAGCCGTGTGCATAATATTTAGTGAATGAAGAAACCAAAGAAACACAAATCCCATTAGATCTTTTGTTTTTCCATTTTTTAATAGAGATATTTTCCTCTTAACTCTGCAGTTGATAAGAAAAATGACAGTGCAAGGGTGATGATAAGCAGTAAGGCAGTTGGCCTCAGCGTAGGAGAAAAATAGACAGTGGCTGGGACTGGGGCAAAGTGGAGAGTGGTCTGTCTGGAGTAAGTGGCTACTACCCCTGTTCCTACTTAGTTTGGGGAATAAAGGGCCCATTGTTGCTGGATCTTCTCGTTTCAAAGGAGGAGCCAGAAATCCAGATTATTTACATGACGTCTCACAGTTTTTGTCACTTTTTTTTTTTAAACCATAAGGACCTAAAACAATTTGATAAGGTATGTGGTTACAGTTTTCAGAATACTCACTTAAAAATATTTATTTTGTGGTTTAACATAAAAAAAGTTCATTTGAGCCTACATTAGATGAGCCACACTTACCATTCTCTGTGTACCAAAATTAGCCTTCTGTATTATGAAAATAATAGATGGCCATAAACATAGGTAAATATACATAATATTAGGTTTATTGATATTGCTTTACTTTACCTGATAATGTTCAGTGGGATATCCTCATTAGAAATGCATAGGTCAATGTGCCAAGCAAAATTCCAGTGAACACAGTACGTTCATGTAGCATTTCCATTGGTCCATTGTCTGTAAGGTGTTGCTTCAGATGATTTGTGTCTCCTTTTTTCACTGAATGAACCTGTACCTTCAGCATGCCCCAGAACAGATAATCAAGGGGTTCAGGCCTGACAAGCATGCAACCCACTTGGCCTAGCCTATCTAGTCCAGCTTTAGAAGTTTTCATCCACTCAACCCCTTACGTTCTGGTTGGGGGCGTGGAGTGCCGTGCTCTTGCTCCTACTTGAGGCAACTTCCCCTGGTCTAAAAAGGCAGGCTTTAATTGATCTCTTAACATAGACCTGTCAAACATTGGCCTGTTTCTAGACCTTATGGCCACCCTGTATTACCTGCTACCTAATGTAAAGTGTTTGCATTCAGTTTTCTAGGAAAGCATTCATGTTTTCTTTTTCTCTCCTCCAAACAGAAAGCGTTCTGCAAAGCCTGAAACTGTAATTGACTCTCTACTTCAGTAAATGTTACAGACTTAAAGTCACAATAAAAATTAGTGATATTCTCACGCCTGGACAAAATCTTTACTTAAAACACTGAAGACTATTCTGTAATTTCAAATAATGGAAGCTGTAAGTCATGGAGTAAGACTGGAACTAATGAATTGCCTAGTAAGTCTTAGTCAATATAAATATTAATGTCATTAAAATTGTACAACTGGTAATTCTTCAAATTGTCATATTACGCTCCAGTTTATACTGTGCAGGGAAGTTGGGGGAGCAGCTCATACTATAGAGAGTTGCAGTTTAAATGTATATGTAAATCTGCTAGTGATTTATTCAACTGCTGTAATGATTAGGTAACTAGATAGTCAAAATAGAAGAAAAACGTAAGTCCTGTTTTGCACACAGAAAGTAGCAGATCTCATTGTCCTGTGTTGTGCTGTCATATATGAATGTGTGGGCTGCATATCTAAGACATTCGATCCTAACACCTGCGTGGCCTGTTTAAAAATGTTCTAATTTTTACACTAACATTCATTGTGTTTTAAGTATAAGGTAATTCATCTTACTGATCTTTAGAAAATTTTATAATTCAACAGTCTTTAGAAGTATACATGTTTAAAATACAAAAGTTGGAAATGTGTTTCTTCTGGACCTCTCGACCTTTTTTGCCACTTCAAGTCAAATGCACTTTTTTTGTTCTGGTTTTGTGTTCTCTTGAAGCATTGAATTTGTATGTAGATAGAAAGGAGTCACAGCTGCAGAAAATTAAGAAGCTAATATTGGTCACTGATCTTTGCCCATATGTATATATTTTCTAAAATTCACTTCGAAGTGTGACTAATGGATGCTTGCTTTCCTATGTCTGAGTTCTAAATTGTGATGGAAATTGCTCTGTATCTCCCAACTGGGAAAGGTCTCCATTTTCCACAAAATGCAACCAAAGCAGAAAATATGTGTCTTTCAATTCTTTGGCTTTAAAACACTTCGTTTTGCTTTTATTCATATTTTATAAGAAGAAAATATTTTTCCCTAAATTTCTTTTATTGACAACTCCCAGTTAGACCATATTCCTCTAAAAATAAGAAATTTTATTTTATAGTAAATAAGTTGGAATAGAATTGTTCTTATGTTGGCTGCTTACAAAATTTTAAATTTTTTATAAGTCAAGCTACTCCTGAACCACTTAATATTTTTTATGATTTTAAAATTATGTAATCAGCCCTGAAGTCCATTGGTTGCAAGTTTGAGACTTCATAAATAAGTATTTACTAAGTGAACAGTATTTTAATAAGTTTGGTTAAATATTGGTTTGTAGTTACACAGCTGTGTATTAGAGTGGGGGTGAGCGAAGGTGGCGTACTTGTGGTGGTAAAAATGTGTCCCTAAATGTAAAGTACATTCCAAAGGTGGTGTACTAAACGTCCTGTGTATAGTGAATATTTTCTAGTTAATAAGAATTGCATTTAACTGGCAGCATTTTCTTTGTAATGTGTAAGATAGAAGTTTATGACTTCTGTGGGGCATTGTTTAGGTACTGTGAAGACTAGAGGTAAATTTGTGTCTTGTAAAAGCTTTGTGTGCACAGAATATCTTCGCAACTGTAGATGCACATTTAACTGTTAGGAATTGCTCTAGAGAAATCTTCATTTTACCAGTAGAAAAAAACAGATGCAGACTTCTTTTTAAAAGTCCTTATTTCTAGCCTTTAACCATCCAGTTAATAGGAAAGGAATAACTTTGTTTTTTATTTATTTTATTTTATTTTTAAGTAGAGTTGACACTGTGTTCCATTAGTTTCAGGTGGACAACATAGTGATTCACCTGCTCTGTTACGCTGTGCTCACCACAAGTGTAGCTCCCATCTGTCACCAGACAGCACTCTTAAAATCGTTGACTGTATTCCCTTTGCTGTGGGAAAGGAATAACTTTGGCATTAAGCTTATTTAAAACATAGGACATTTAAGCCAGTATGTTAGATTTATTTTTCTATTCCACTTCCGCTGCAGTAACAAAAAGAAATCTGTAAAAAGTCAAAACATTGAGGAATTTACAAAACAGGCCACTTTAGTAGTTATTATTTTTTTTAAAGCACTTACATTAGAACTGATTATACCAGATGTACATTAGATATTCATTTTATGAAATACCAAAATAAGATATTCAAGCCAGGCTTGAATATCCATATGAAAACATGGGATACTGACTTTAGAGTTACTCATTTAGCTTTAATCATAGCAATTCTGTGGTTTCTTCATGTGTACTGTGTCTTTGTCCATAAAATGAAATATTTTGTAACTTCAGTGTTAATTTCGTGAAAGGATATAGATGAAAAAACCTGCTCATTATTTGAAATAAATAGGCAAATTTAAAATGAGTGTCACAGGGGCGCCTGAGTGGCTCAGTCCTTAAGCGTCTGCCTTTGGCTCGGGTCATGATCCCAGGGTCCTGGGATCGAGCCCCACATCGGGCTCCCTGCTCCACGGGGAGCCTGCTTCTCCCTCTCCCACTCCCCCTGCTTGTGTTCCCTCCCTCGCTGTGTCTCTCTATGTCACATTAAAAAAAAAAAAAAATCTTAAAATGAGTGTCACATATAAATAGGTTGTCGAGTATTTTCTCTTTAATTTAAAAAAGTAATGTTTATTTATTAAAAGATACCTTGGTAGAATGTATGTTCTTTAATAAACCCTGTTTTAAAATCTCAATTATATATACTAATAATTAAGATATTAAAATATAGTAGTACCCCCCCCATTTTTGTTTAGATTCTTGTAAAATATAAGCTTAACCAAGGTATGGGGGGGTGGCTTGCATCTTTGTGCTTTTCTGGCAAGTAGAGTCCATTTGACAAGGTATGTCCTTTTTTTTTTCTGGGGGAAGGGGACCTTTTTTGCAGCAAGAAATTTAAGGTTACTTTGGGGGAGGGGGTCAGTGCTACTTCGTCTGTAACATGTTTTTTTTAAAGTTATGATTATGGATTTTGGGTTGTTTTCAGTCTTTCAAAAATATCTTTCCCCTTAACTCTTATATTAAGGGAAGTCCCTCTTTCCTACAGGGCTCTGAATTAAGGAATGGGTAGAGTTTACATTTAAGCACGCCAGTGTCTGCCCAATTTCTTAATGTATACATTTGTTTTCTTTTTAGTGATTCTTTGTTCCTAAAATGCTAGAAGAAAACATAGATCTTCCTAGTGCCTTTGAACTTATACTGTAGTTTGATTAATTTAAATCATTAATAACTTCAGTAGGATTACTACAATACTGTATACTGGCCAAAATTGCAAATCTTATAATGTTTGTTGCATCAGTTTCAAAAGCCACACCTTCATTGTATTTTATGTATAAATTGTATTTGTTCAAGTTGTATATATTGATATTGTATGTATACATGCAGCATGGTTAAGTTAGAAATAAAAATCTTCACCTAATACTTATAGTGGTGGTCTGCTTCTTTCCTGAACTGTTTTGTGTTTATGTCCATCCTGATATTAGTAAGTATGGTCCTTGTGCTTGGCATCTCAATTTTGTATGGTTGAAAGAACCCAGTGTCATTTTACACCCAAAACATTTCATGTTGTGAGTCTTGAAACAGAAATCATCATGAAACATAAACCTGGGAGAAAGGTTTTAAAATGTGCTTCTTCTGGGCACCTGGGTGGGTCAGTTGGTTAAGCGTCTGCCTTCAGCTCAGGTCGTGATCCTGGGGTCCTGGATCAGTGGGGAATCTGCTTCTCCCTCTCCCTTTGCCCTCCACTCATGCTTGCTCTCTCTCTCTCTCTGTCTCTCTCTAGTGCCTTTTCTCTCAAACAAATAAAATCTTTAAAAAATAAAAAGGTAAAATGTGCTTCTAACTGATAACATTTTTGGGGGGGGCGCCTGGGTAGCTCATTCAGTTAAGTGTCCCACTCTTGATTTCGGCTCCGGTCATGATCTCAAGGTCGTGAGATTGAGCCCTGTTGGGCTCTGTGCTGGGCATGGAGCCTGCTTAAAATTCTCTTTCCTTCTTCTGCCCCGCCCCCCACCCTGCACTCAAACAAGCAAACTTATTTTTACCAAAAATATTTTTATCCAAATTTTGTTATCCTTTTTCACTTGGTATTTGAGAGAACAGAATCTTAAAGAGGTGCATATGTAAAATGTATCTAAAAGGTAAAAGGAGACATTTCTTAGTGCTAAGATACCATGATCTCTTTTAAAAGTTTTTAATGAGCTTAATCTGCAAGACAAAACATTGCTTGAATTCTTGTTAATCATGTATTCTTGTAACAGACAGTTTATTAGCAGGCTTTGCACTGGCTGGCCTTACGAAAGGGCAGGCAATGAGAAGTTTTGATTCGTCAGCAAGTCTCAGAGGACTTAAATGTGCTTTTTGCAAAGGAGACTCCTCTGGGCTCGCTCTCTTCCTTTTCCCAACTGCTAACTTAGGTCCCACTCCTACAGTGTGTGGAACACGAAAACAAGATGAAAGACCTGCCATGGCCTAAGCAAGAGAAGAAATAGTGCTGCCTTCACAGCCTCTGCCCGTCTTCCCCAGTTGAGTTGTGGAGCTGCGACACTATCACCAAAGCCATACCACTAAGATGCACCTGCTCCCGCCCGCCCGTGTCGTCAGGATGCTGCTGAGGACATTGTCTGTCCTAAAGAAGACCCTGCAGAAATCTCTCTTAAAAAGCCAAGTACAAAAACAAAACAAAGCAAAAAACAGCCGAGGACCAGCCTAGGGGACCACAGTTAGCCAGGGCTTGCCAGAGCAGTCCTGCAGCCACAGCCTAAACTTAAAGTGAGTTGGAGGAGCCTCTAAACACATTTGTTACAACAGTAGCTGAATGTCTCATTCTTGGGCTGTTTCATTTGCAAAACAAATCAGGTCTTCAGTCCTCCTTCGGAAGTTGAACAAATGTGTGGGAAAATGATTATGAAGAGGCTACTTCAAAAAGAACCTGTTTCCTCTCAGCATTTATCTTGGGCTTCCTGTGACCCAATCTTCAAGTTACTTTTATCAACGTTATCAGAACATCACTTTTTGTCTTACCCAAACACGTTTATGGCTCTGACTAAAGAATATGACAGATCACACGTTCTTCCACACCTGCTCCCCTCCCCCACCCCTTTTCAGAGGGCTGGGGAAATTTTAGTTTTTAATCAAAGGCTTTATTTCTCCAGTGGTACAAAGGAATTTAACTGGGACTTTACAACTGCATAAAATATTTCTCAGAGTTGATGCTAATCTTAGTGAGAGGATATTGCCTAACCCAACCTAAAAGTACCAGAGTCATTACAGAAATATTATGTTGGCCTTGATTTCTACTCCATCACGAACTGTGCCACTCCGTCACTGGTGTCTTCTGTATTTACTGTGTGCCCATGCGGTACTGGGTGGAAGGTCTTTGCGATGCTCCAGCCTCCCCCAGGAGGGAGAGGTGACCCTGGAAATGAGAATGGCAGCTCAGCATGTTGAGGGCTGTCATTCAGGAGTGGGAATGGTGAGCGGCCAGTGCTGGTGTTCTTCCCGAGCAGCCAGGATGGTACCTAGCACACACCTACCTGACCACAAGGTCAGAAGAGGCTTCTTCCCAGGGAAAGTGCTTTTGAAGATGTCGCAACATCTTCGGGTAAAGCATCCCGGGCAGCAGGAGTAACACTGATCTGGCTGCCGGGGGCACGGGTAGGATGCTGGACATAGGGCAGAAGGCCATCTGCACCGATGAGCCTGAAAAGGAAAGTGATAGGCCAGTAGGGAGTGGGAAGCCACAGAGGGATTTTAAGTGGGTCCCTCACATCATTTGTGTTTTAGAGAAAGAAATTGTGGAAAGGTTGTGAAGGGCTAGCTAGCCGGGGGCTGGGACAACAGGTGGCATGCACACCTGGGCCCTGGAGGCTCCCTCGGTCCTGAGCCACAGGAGCCCAGCGCCCTGTCTTCTCAGCTGGCTCCCCCCTTCTCTTTACTCACATTGCCTAGCAGGTGCCCAGGTGTGTGGCCAGCCCAGCAAACATCAGACCGTGACTGTGTTTGGTTTGACACTGCCCGATAGGAGATGCGGAGCAGACGGCTGAGCGCCTGCAGTGCAGCTAGGGGAAGTTGACGGGCAGGCTGGAGCTGATGCGCTGCACTGTGGAGAGCTGAGGAGAAAACATCTGAGCGCTCGGGGCCAGCCCGGTTCGGGAAACGCTGGGCGTGACAGTGGACTGGATTTTAGTTCTCCACCTGGCACTGGAACTCCAGCTGGAGCTGAGGAATTGAACCAAGGAATCAGCTCCGGGAGAAGAGCATGTGTGCGCCTTGCTGTCCGTGGAAGCCGGTAGGAGCAGAGGGGCTCCGCCTGCGTGCGCGCTGTTAGGCCCGGATGCACTGCGCTACGGGAGAAAGGTGCGTACTGCCCTCTGCGCTGCAGTGCCCCACTCTCAGGTGACTTGGGCACCCCGAGAGGCCCTCCAAGATGACATGTGGGGGAGGGTCACTGGCGTGGACCAGCCAGTAGCAACAGGAGCCCCTCCCTCCCCCCCATGATTCAATAAAAGACATTCAACCATGGATTTGAGTGAAACGTTTTCTTTTGTTCATTTATCCAGTAAGTGTTTTCTTAGCTACTAATGCCGGAGATACAATACATTCATTGGCGAAAGGGTGTAGATGGCTGATGGCTGGGACGGAGCGGTTGAGACTTCGTCGTGTGTCATTCGGGCCAGGCAGAGGCACGTCTGTCCCCTTCCCCCTGAAGCGTTGGCCGCTGCTCAGTTTCCTAAGTGAATGAGCTTAAATGACATCTATCTCACCTTTCACTTAATCCCCGTTTCTTCACTTAATTCTTTTTATGTGTGTCCTCAGCTCATGTGCTCTCACTCTCTGGGTAAACTCAAGGGCTCATTATTGGGTGTTTCCATGCAGAGCCCAGAACCACCCGTCCGGAAGTAAATAGAAATGTTAGTTGCATCTTAACCATCGAAACTAAGCTTATGACAGACCTGCCTGGAGCCCACCTGTCCTTCCGATGGCCCCTTCTAAATCTTTCTTCCCAACAATCTTTCCTCTTACCATCCTGGCCCCGTACACAAATAAAACCCACAACTCATATCCTGTGGCAGACTACAGCTCACATTAGCCATTGAATGCAAATGAGTCTCAATCAAAGAAGAAAGGAAACTAAAGTTTTCAGCATGGCCTTAGAAGGCTCCATGACTCTCTTCGTTACTTGCTGCCCTTGGCATGCTGGTATTTTATGTGGGCAGGGTGAAACTGGCTGTGGTTTCAGGGTGAGACTTTAAGCTTTTGATTTGTTCCCTTATTTTGAAAGGGTTAAAAAGATGTTACATGTTTTGGTATAATTTTAGTACCAGTATTAATTTTTGTCACATACGTGTAAGCGAGGATGAAGCGCGAGTGCTCATTCACTGCCACTAGATCCATATTCTCGCAGAGAGCATGGCTTCCAAAGGCAAGTTTCAACAACTTGCCACTGTTTTTGTTTACCCTTTTAATTAAAAAAAATTGCAGCTTTATTAAGATACATACTGTAAGTGTGCTCATATACTATATCAAATTCATCTTTCTCAACTATACAGTTCAGTAGTCTTTAGTATATGCACAGAGTTACACAGCTGTCACCACTATCTACTATGAGAACGTTTTCCTCTCTCCTAAAAGAAGCCCTGTTGTGTTCATTAGGAGTCGCTCCCTATTCCTCCAGCCCCCCAGCCCCTGGCAACCAGTATTCTGCTTTTTACCTGTGTTGTTTTTCCTCCAAATTTTTATTTAAATTACAGTTAACATAAAGTGTAATATGGTTCCAGGAGTACAGCTTAGTGATTCATCACTTACAACACGCGGTGGTCATCACAACGAGTGCCCTCCTCAACGCCCATCGCCCAGCTGGTCCACTCCCCACTCCCAGCCCCTCCATCAACCCTCAGTTTGTTCTCTGCCGTTAAGAGTCTCTTATGAGGGTGCCTGGGTGGCTCAGTTGGTTAAGCGACTGCCTTCGGCTCAGGTCATGATCCTGGAGTCCCTGGATCGAGTCCCGCATCGGGCTCCCTGCTCGGCGGGGAGTCTGCTTCTTTCTCTGACCCTCCCCCCTCTCATGTGCTCTCTCTCATTCTTTCTCTCTCTCAAATAAATAAATAAAATCTTTAAAAAAAAAAAAAAGAGTCTCATGAGTTGCTTCCCTCTTTTTTTCCCTTCCCTTATGTTCATCTGTTTTGTTTCCTAAATTCCATATATGAGTGAAATTGTATGGTATTTTTCTTTCTCTGACTGACTTACTTTGCTTAGCATAATACATTCTAGCTCCAACCAATCATTGCAAATGGCAAGATTTCATTCTTTTTGATGGCTGGGTAATATTCCATCACACATATACACACACGCACGCGCGCGCACGCGCGCACACACACACACCACATCTTCTTTATCCATTCATTAGTCAATGGACACTGGGCTCCTCCCATAGTTTGGCTACTGTTGATCCACTTTTGCCCTCTATTGATTTGCCTCTTCTGGACATTTCATATAAATGGAATCATACCATATATAGCCTCTTTTAAAAAAATATTTATTTATTTGACAGAGAGAGAGACACAGTGAGAGAAGGAATACAAGCAAGGGGAGTGGGAGAGGGAGAAGCAGGCTTCCCGCGGAGCAGGGAGCCCGATGCGGGGCTCGATCCCAGGACCCTGGGACCATGATCAGAGCGGAAGGCAGACGCTTAACGACTGAGCCACCCAGGCGCCCCTGTATATAGTCTTTTGTGTCTGACTTCTTTCACTTAGCCTGGTGTTTGCAAGATTCATCCATACTGTAGTGTATATCAGTACATTTCTTTTTACTGCCAAGTAATATTTTGTTGCATAGGAATACCATAGTTTGTTTATTCTTTGATCAGTTGATTGACATTTGGGTTGTTTCTACTTTTTTGCTATTATGGATAATGCTGTGATGAACGTTGGTGTAGAGATTTTTGTGTGGACATGTTTCAGTTTTCTTGGATTAAAATTGCTGGGTCATAGAGTAACTGTGTTTAACCTTTTGAGAAACTGTTTTCCGAAGTGGCTGTACCATTTCCCTCTCACACCAGCGATATATGAGAGTTCCAACTTTTCTACATCTTTGCCAATATTTGTTATTGCCTGTCTTTTTAACTTTAGTTCTTTAATTTTTTAAAAACATTTTCTCATTTATGCACACGGTCACAGACTTAACGCAGAAAGCCAACAGTCTTTCGTCTTGCTTTCACCGGTCCTTATTCCAAGTCCTATTCCCAACAAACCACCTTCCCTTTTTTGTTTCTAGCTTTTATGGTGGCTACTAGCATAATTCCAAAACAAAGATTTCTCATTTCACTCACTATGGGTCCCCCCCCCACTTTTTTAATGAAAACTTAAAAACGTGCATAAAAGCAGAGTAGGACAGTTAGCTCCCATGTTCCCATCCCCAGCTACAGCATCATCTAATGACCACTCTTGCCAACTAGTTTTTGCTTCTCCAGCGTTGGATAGTATGTGTTAATTTCCCTATTGAAAAGTGAGGGTTTACCTCATTTATCCTACCCCTTCCAAATTTTTTTTTAGTAAATTATTTGTAGGCCTTGTATTACCTGTGTAGTTTTGAATACTTAAATCTCTTGTTCTTTTTTTTTTTCAAGATTTTATTTATTTATTTGAGAGAGAGAATGAGAGAGAGAGAGAGCACACGAGAGGGGGGAGGGTCAGAGGGAGAAGCAGACTCCCTGCCGAGCAGGGCGCCCGATGCGGGACTCGATCCCGGGACTCCAGGACCACGACCTGAGCCGAAGGCAGTCGCCCAACCGACTGAGCCACCCAGGCGCCCAAATCTCTTGTTCTTATTCCATCATCCTTAGACCGTATTGTTCAACCAATCCCTTCCCCAAGTGAGCTGGGGGTATTAGTACCCTACCTTTCTTCCCTTCTGCTTTTACCTCTCAACCATTTTCAGCTGTACTTTTTTTTTTTAAGCCTTTTGATTTTTTTTTTATTGCTCAAAAAAGCTTTATTTTTTAAAATTTAGCTTCCGGACTCTGTGCCTGTGCCTTCCTCACTTGGACAACGATTTTCTGCTCCTCGATAAGGAAAGCACACTTGATCCTGTCACAAGCACACTTAACACACACGGAACCACCATAGGCCCTGCTGACGTGCTTATTTCGTTTTAGACAATCTCACAGGGACTTTAGGTCTCACCGCTCGAGCTCCTCGAAGTCGGCCTGGGCCCACGCCACATGCAGATGTTGGTGCTTTCCCAACCTTCTCGGTATAAAGGTAAACGCTTGTACGACCAGGGGCTTGGGACAGCCTAGTTTTGATAGACGCTGTATTGCAGCCAGCCTAGGCTGGCCTGTCAAACGCCGGACTGTTCTGAATGCCTACGGGCCCCGTCCCTGGAAGAGGCAGCTGTACCTTTTGTATCATCAGGTTGGTGGCATTCACAGTCTGTTCTATGATTACAACTAAGTCGTCCATGCTTTGTTGGTTGGTTGGTTCTAAGACTTGAAAATCAAGGGAATTTACATCATCAGGACTTTAAATATTGTTCACTGCAGAGCCGTGTAGTGTGCCGGAGTTCCATCCCCCTTGACCCCCCCGACTCAGTGTAACGGCTGCGGGCCAGGGGGGAGGATTGTCTAAGCATCCAGTTAACACCTTTTTTTATTCAGGATTAGTTGGTGGTTAGTAGTACTCATGGACCCACTCTGCACGCTCTCCTATCATGTACCTCGTGCGTGGCCTTGTATTCTTTAATCATTTTGTGCCTTACGTCCCCCTCTGGAAGGGACCTCCTGGAGAGGGGAACGGTTTTTCTTCTTTTACTTCTATACCAATTTTAGTCTCTTAGTAAATTAAATTGGTTTCCCTAAAAGTTGTCCAGTAAATATAGCCAGTGCCATTGAAGTGACATCACGTTGTTAGATTCTGCATATACTTTATTTTATAATGTTATAAATATATAAATATTTTTAAAATAAAGCTATTAAAAACTCATAAATTAAAATATTCAGCTTCAGTGCCTGTAGTATTTCCTTTGCATGATCGCTTTTAGCCTTTCCAAGAAGTCTTTCAGTGTACTCTTCTTGACTTCATTCACCGAACAGGTCTGCAAAAGAAATATTTCATTAGCTTGCATTGCTGAGTCACTGAGTCTGTCTTTCATGCCTGCCCACTTGAGTCAGGCCTCCTCTGGCACTTGCCACCCGAACAGTTCTTTCCAAACAGGGCCTCCGGTCTAGTCTGATTGGGAGTCTGTCTCTGCCACAAGGCCAGCACGGTTTGCTGGTCTTCTGTGCATGCTAATAAACTCCTAGAAACAGTTACTAACTGTGTATCTCTGGGGGGTGCCGCAGACTCTGGAGAGCTGTGCCACAGCTAGGTGCCGCCTAGGGGTGACACACTGGATCTCTCCTTATTAAGAGTTTCTTCACTTGCTCTCTGGGGCACCACACATTCTTCGGTTTCCTCCTACTTCACTGGCTACTTCTCAGTCTCTTTTGCTGGACCTCTTCTGACTTCTGTGAGAGTACTTCTGGGCTCAGTCCTTGGATCTCTCTATGTCATTCAGATCTAGGACTTTCAATAACATCTTTCTGAGGACTCTTCATTTTATATCACGAGTTCTGACCTCTCCCCAAAGCTGCAGACTTTTCCTACAGTCTCAGCATCTCCACTTGGCTATCCAAGAGGTACCTCAAATTTAGTATTGATAAATTGAACTCCTAATCGTGTGCTCAACCTCCAGCCCTGCTTTGTGCCCAGTTTTCTAGGCACGAACCATCTCCCAAAAGACTCAGGCTAGGAACCGAGAAGCCACCTTTTACTCATTCCCTCACCCCTCACAGTGGGTCTTCTGGCTCTATTTTTAGTTATATCCCAAATCTAACAACCTCTATTGCTCCCAGTCTGTTGAAACCACTATTACCTCCAACCTGGATTACTGTGATGGCCTCCCAGTAGGGCAGCTTGTTTCCCTGCTTAGCCCTCGTCAGTTTATTTACCACACGGCAGCCAGAGTGATCATTTTAAATCACATAAATCAGATTGTACTCTCTGTTCTGCTCAAAACCCTGTGGGTAAATCCTGCCATACTTGGGGTAGAATCCAGAGACCATGTGTGATCTACTAAAATCCCCTTTGCTCAATCTGACCCAGCCACCCTGGCTTTCCTGCTGATCTTTGAACACGTGAACCTCATTTCTACCTCAGGGCCTTTGCACAGCTATTTCCTCTGCCTGGAATGTTCTTTCCCCAGTTAGTCATATAGCCTGCTCCTTCATTTAATTCAAATATTTGCTCAGATGAGGTCACCAACCTCAGCCCTTTCCCTCATGACCCCTATATTCTTTATTCCTTTATTTTTCTTCATAGCACTTATCACTACTGGACATAATATTACATGTTTGTTTGCTTTTCTAACTCCCCCACTAGAACATTCTGTGAGAGCAGGCACTGTATCCCCAGTGCCTAGGACAGCACCTTGCACTCACAGAGCCTCAACAAATATTTGCTGAGTGAATGAATGGGTTGATTAATCAAGGGTATTACGACCCTTAAGGAGGAATGGTTAGGAGTCAGGCTGCTGTCCGTCAGGAGCCAGGGGGTCGGCATGATTCAGCTTACCATGTTTGCCATTTTCCTGAGGTTCCTGTGAAGTCCTCCAAGGAGTTTGTTGTAGCAATTTTGTGTAGAGAGCTGCTGAAGCACAGTTGTAGCTCTGCAGAAGATTTCTTTTTCAGTTGTGTTCTAGAAAGAGAAATGCCACAGTTAGCCATGCACTACCTCTGTTTTGAACATGGGAGAGACGGTTTTCCTTGTGATTGCTTCTTTTCAGGAGGACAAGTGGGGAAAGTGAGTTTGCTCAACTCTGGATCAGGTATTCGGATATTCCTCTCATGTGAATGAAGGCTGCTGGTCCCAATAAAGGACCTCTTCCAATTACCTACAAATGCAGCAAACTTCTCTTTTCCCTTAGACAATTTTGCTGAAAGGCTACCTGAGTAAAGGCACTCAGCTAAGTAAATGACAGAGTGGGGATTTGAGTCTAGAACCATCTGTCTCTGCCCGTGATCTATGTCCATTTCTCTTCACCATGCAAGCCTACATGAGCTTGTCGTCAGACTGTGCTCTGTCTCATTGCTGTAAGATTTTAAAGTCCAGGTTTCCCCGGAAATCCTACAAGCTTGTTGAATAAATGAGTGCCCATCCTGTGGCCAGGACCCTGGTGCTTTGGGCCGCACTCTCCATTTAGCCCACCCCCTGAGAGATGGCAGTGTGTGCAAAGCTCAGGGTCCACGTGAGATGAGACATCTGCCCATATAGCTGGAGAGGCGTGCCAAGATCACAGCTAGGCAAGAGATCAGAGGAAGCTTCTGGGAGAGGGTGCAATTGAGCTGGGCTGTGGACACAGCCTCTGGAAGAGGCCTTTGGCCTAGGAGGTGCCGCGCCAGAACCTCCGTGGAATGCTGCAGCCCAGATGTGGGTCTGGCCACATGGCTCTTCCTGGGGATGTTTGGGCCTTAGATGAGGGAATGTACAGGTGGGAAAATAGCTCTTTTTGGGAACCTGGCAGAGGGATCGTGACTCCGTCTGAATCAGGCCTGGTATGTCCTCTCACCTGGCACTGAAGAATGAAAGCATGGAGTGTGGAGAGCAGTCTTAGTTTGAGCCTGAACCAGCTCAGATCAAGCTGTCTCCAGCCTCTGCGAGGACATGCGTTAGTCCCTTGCCCCCCAAAGTGTGGTCCAGGAAGCAGCAGCATGGACATCACCTGGGAGCTTGTTAGAAATGCAGAGTCGCATGCCTGCCCCCAGAAATCCTGAATCAAAATGTACATTAACATAAACCACCAGGGGATTTAGATGAGAAGTACTGTCAGGGCAGTTTTTAAAGTTCTTGCATATTTTTTTCTGATTATTAAGGTAATATATGTTTACTGTAAAGGTAATATATATTCAGCAGAAATGCATTCACTCAATCCCACCAGCCAGAGATAACTGTTGATACCTTGATAAATATCTTCCCATTTTTAAAAATACTTTTTTAAAAATGGGGACCATCTGTTGATACTGTTTTGTAGCCTTTTTACACAATACATAGTACAAGCATTAAGTCATTCAGTAGACTATAAGAACATGGGATTGAGAGCCGCATGGAAGCCCACAGCATATTTGTACCATAATTGGGTAATACCCTACCATTGCAGTTTTTTGCTTCTGTAAAATAAAGTGGCACTGAGTCATCTGTGTAAATCTTTGTGTTCATCTTTTATTTCTTTAGGCTAAATTCTAGAAGTGCATTTCATATTTAGGGTTTTTCCAGGAAGATCTAGACCCAGACTCAGGTACTAGAACCCTAGGCTACAAAAGTTTCCCCGTTGCCCTGTGGGCCTTGAAGTCCCATTGGCAAGGCCTTTCTTTGGAAGGACATGCACTTAATGAACCGGCCAAGAGCCCTCCTGGGCTCTGACTGTAGTTGGAAATTTGAGAGCAACACCAGTATCTCTGGGCTGTGAGAGTCAAGAAACCCCCATCAGTCTACATATCTTTGGAGGCTTAGTGGGTAAGCAGAGGCGGTGAAGCCAAGGGGAAGGCAGATGGCTAAGCTGTGTATGTACATCTAGGCAGATAACTGTGCTGCTGGAGAGAGAACAATGAGATTCAAGGAGACCAAAAAGAGAAGAGCCCCTTTGCTTATTTTTTTCATCAAAATCTCATGAGACTTTTCTAAAACTTTAGCTTGGAGCCTAGAAATTAAACCGCCTCAGTTTTGAGTATATGGCCTGTAATACAGGAAAACACCCTCTAGACAGATTCTTGAAAGGGTTTTCTAAAGGCAGTTAGGATAAAATAGGAATTGAAAAGAGTTTGAATCAAATGGAAAAACTTCAAAAGAACTAATTCTCAAGGCAGTTTTCGTGAAGACCTTAAAGTTTTAGTTCCATTGGAATTGCAGCTACAGGATCCTACCCCGTACCGATGGCTGGCGGCTGCTCGTCCAGGTTTTGCCGCGTGAGGGTGTCGTGCGTAGCTCAGGGGGCACACCTCGACAGCCTAGTGGACCTTGCAGTTTAGGAAAAGAGACTGAAAAGGGGAGCTTGGGCCTATGCTAGAAAGAAGCCCAGCACTCACGGGAACATCAGCAAAGGGTGGAACACCATCTAGGGCTGCTTCTGTGGCGGAGACGCTGTTAGATTTCTAACATGGTTCTTGACTAGCTTCGTATTGGGCCATAAACGTCCAGTCCTCATGTTGTACTCATTATCCCCAACTCGGCCCAAATTTAGTGAGCCAGTGCTATACATGAGAAAGTCTTTTACTTCTACTTAAAAAAAAAAAAAAAAAAAGGATTTGAGAGTTGGTGTAGAACTCTGAGGAATCATGGACTTGAGCTCTCTTTGGAAAGGAGGAAGTACCTCCCACTAATGGTCTACCCAAGAAATCCGTCACAGACCAGCCAGCTTGCGTGTTTTCCACTTCACTCTTTCTCAGACCACCTTAGTTTCAGAGATACTGGGCCGGCATTGCCTGTGAAGTCCAGGACTCAGATCCGCACTGTCTTTCCAGCAACCGCCAAGAACAGGATCCCACCCGACTTGGAGATAATAGAATTCTTGATCCCCCAAAGAAAGAAAATTGATATCCAAAATCTTGGATTTTGGAAAGGTGTCCTTCTTTGGGGACACAAAGAAGTAACTTTTCCTGCCACATACCACCTTGGTGCGTTTTTAAAATAACAGCCTTTCCTTATCCTGTAATATCTGTAATATTCCTTATTCTGTAATATCTTTCCTTATTCTGTAATATCTGTCATATCTTGGAGGAAAAGAAAAAATGGAAGAAGGAGATTGGTATAATCCAGGAGGAATAGAAGCAGTTGGAGGAAGGCCTGAGGGAAGACGGTGGGGACCCGCTTCAGCAGACGTCTACCCAGGGGAGGGGCCGTGTGATAACTGATGAAGAGAATGGCCACGAACAGCAGAAAGGTGGTGCAGCCCGGCCTGCGCCTCAGCAAGGATGAGACTGGCCTGGTCATCTAGAGCTGGCCCAGACTGGAGTCACAGAGGGTTGGATCTTTTCCAGCTACCGGCCCCTCCTTCTTAGAATTACTGCTCCTCTGTAACCAGTTTTTGCCTTTAACCAAGAGTTATATCATTTTACAGTAACACTTTCCACTAAGTCAAGAATTGGATTCCAACCAACTTTCAAAATCACTTTCATATCTTCACATGTGGAAACCGAAGCACAAGGAGATACGGCCACTGGCCAAAGGCCGCATAGCTAGTTAATGGCAAAACCGTGGCTAACGCCACAGGCTGTGTCACTTCAAGACGCTCGGCACTTTGGGGCCCAGCCCTTGGCTTTGATGGAACCCTCTTGGCAGCGCGATGCCATCTGGGGAACCCAGGGGACAGCCCAGTGGACTCCTGGCTGTTTCTTATGTATATAAAATGTTAATAGATTATATTTATATATTATATACTTCTATGTGTATATAAAATCTCCAAGTCCTTCCAGCCTCCTGATGGACAGAGTCTGAAACAGGATGAGATTCTAAAGGACAAAATTATGTAATATATAGTATTAAAGAATAGGATACATTACGCATTAATATTACATCATATATATGGATTATATTACGATATTACGTAGTATTGTCTATCAGATTCCTGGACTAATGTTTAATGAGATGAGATGGTCCAGACAAAGCCCGAGGAGCAGTTTTCCTCACAAAGCAGGACGGGGGTGTTCTGTGGCCCGGCTGTTGGGGTGTGGCTGTGCTAACCTGCGCAGCTACCCTCCCGGCCACCCCGTCCCCTCTAGGCCGCGTGGAAAGCAGGCGGTTAGGAGACCACTGGCAAATTGAAGCTTTGGGTTTTTCATTCTCAGTCTTGTGTTTCCATGAAAACAGGAACTGATGTGCACAAACCTATTGACATGGCTGTAGTCATATGTTTGTCAGAGAAAATGCACTATCAGCTGTCAAATCTGTCTCCTCCCACTAAAGATAGAGGGGCGGGGGTGAGACGGTGCCGGAGGCGGAAAGGCGAGATGCCCAGGCAGCCAGGGCCAGGGATGTGTAGGACCCCCGTGTGGCAGGGCAGTTCTGGACTGGGCTGGAAGGGGCTTGGCAGGACATTGCAGCGGAAGGTCTCCGGAGAGCCGCCCCCGGAGCCAGTGGGCTGTTAGATGACCAGGCTGCAGAAAAGGAGGGGCTCTGGCGATACCTTCTCTGTTGCCATAGGAAGTCTCTTAGACAAAATGAAAGCTCCCTCGACCTGTAATCTCCCTATCTCTTTTTGTGACACTATTTGGTTTTTCAGAAATGTGCGGGCCAGAAAAACTCTCCTTCAACAAGCATTTATTGAGCGCCTCCTGTATTCCAGGTACTAGGCTGGGATATAGGAGGAAAAGAAGGAACTGTTCCCTAACCAGGATTTGGAATTAGGGTCACAAAAATCCAAGCTTTCCATTATACATCTTCTACATCAAGTGAAACCAGAAACACTAAAACATGCTTTAGAGTAAAGATCAGAATTTTCATTCTTAAAAACATCTAACACCTTGTAGTTAATTTGGGTCTGTTCACTTTCTGTTAAAAAAAAAAGTTTCTTGTTCAAACACCTGTGGATGGCTTTCCTCTCCCAAGTCACTCATGTGCCAAAGCAAACCCCGGGACAGCTCTTACCTTTGCGGCAGCGAAGATGTCGGTGACGGTCAGCTCCATGCACAAGTCCTGGCCCGGAACGAGAGGGCAAGAGACAGAGTCACTTCCAACTGTACAGGGGGACCCTTGCCAGGCAGCTGTCACTCCCTCCAACCAAGCAAACTGCCCTCAGGACAAAAAAGCTCCTGCAGAGAAATCTCTGCTCTGCTCCCTGTCTGTCACCAACCACCAACCCCCAACTTCTCTGGAAGCTGTGATGTTCTTCTCATAGTCTAAGTACCCACGGCATCTCCAGAACATCTGGAGAGATGGTGCCTGATAGCTTACTCACGTTTCTCGCTGTGAGGATGTTCAACGTTCTGATGATCTCTTTAATGGCAATACTGAAGTTATGTCCGTGGACAAAGGTGCTGGTGAGTGCTAGTAAGCAGACCAGAGTTGGAATCAGTTGGGAGGTGAGACCCATTAATAGATCTCTGTTTGCAGTGACAATATGAGACAAATCAGTTTACTAGGAGAGGCTCACAATGCAATTCTGACAAAGATATCTCTATATATAGATTTTAAAATTGCTGAAACTGAGGGAAAATGAGGGAAATTGGAAATTTTCGTTACACCAGGTTGTCAGTCATTTGGGGCCAATCAGCACCTCTCTTCCAGGAGAAAAAATACCTCACAGAAACAGGTAAAATGTTCCTGTGAAATCATACCAATAGGAAAATGAAACCTTTTTTTAAAATTAACTACAAAGTATCAGCATAGGAAATTACACCATAATTTGCTCTTTAGATTAATCTTATCAGCTTGGGGTTGCTGCTGGCTTTTTGTTTGCACAGAAGGAAGAGGCCACAGGTGTCCGAATTTGTTTTAGTGCAGTCCTCCTGGGGAAAGACAGAGTAATAACAAGAAAGTTTGACTTGAATAGTGTTTCAGCCTGGCGTCTTCCAAGTATGGGTGGCATCTTGGAAACTCTCCTCTTGTGGAAAAGCTGATCTGGGGCTCTTTCTCTAGGTAGAAGGAAAGTAATAGGCACAGACTCTCTCCTGTCCCAGCACTCAGGCATGCCATTCCTTCAGGTTTAGGACTTGGGCAAAAGACTGGTGCCACCAGGTGGGGCTTAGTCTGGGTCACATCAGGTCCACAGGTCCTTAGCAAATGCAGGGGCCCTCGGCAAACCCTGTCTATCTCGAGGCTTCAGGAATGACCACTTTGTAAATGGAACTTAAATACATCCTCAGCTAATGAGGAAAGAGAACCATAATCTTCCTGGTTTACAAACCAGTTGTCCTTGTCAATGCCCCACAACCTGCCCTGCTGCCTTAGTTTAATTCCTGTGGCCCCGGTGTGGTCCTCACACCCCCACTGCTCGCTCAGGTGCAGCAGGATTCCCGTGCCCTAGCACCGCTCGGCTTTTTCCTCCCGAGACTTGGCTTCTCTATCCCATCCCCTCCCTTCCCCTGCTCTCTGACCTCCCTCGCCCTACTGATTTTCTCACGTCACGTAGAAAAGAGTACTGCTAAGTTGTTTCTGTGCCTTGGATCTTTTTACGGTGCCTTGTGCTCCGTGAAGGACAGGATCCAGATAAGTGTATAAGGAAGGCCCTGCGATCATATTTTGGATCCTTCTGCTGGACCGTAGCACGAGTTTGCCAAACTCAGAGCAATGACTTCCGACACAGACTATGTGGAGTTTTGCTATACTTCCCAGGTTAAGGGCATGGCCTCCACAAGACTGCCCTCACTTAGGACACCGGCTGCAAATTTCGAGGGTCCCCAGTCCGCCCTCACTTTTGACCAATTAGCTACAAATTCTAAAGTTCACACTACCTTCTCAGGTTCTGTAATTCGCCAGAGTGACCCACAGGTTATAGCTGTGTTACAGGAAAAGGATACCAGCACCACCGAGCCAACAGAACAGACAGAGGGTGAGGGCTAGGAGGGTCCCAAACATGAAGCTTCCTCTGTTTTCTCCCCATCGAGTCAGAACGTGCTGCCTCCCCAGCACCTTGATGTGTGAAAACGCGCAGGGGACTCCCAAGCAGGGCAGCTTACCTGAGCTTCGGTGTCCAGAGTTTCACTGGCGTGTTGTTCTGCAGGTGCAATTGAGGGATCATTGGCCCCGCGCTTGATACCACTATGGGCTCCTGGTGATGCGGGTCCCCGCCCTGAGTTACCTAATTAGCATAAACTCTCAGGGCCTGGACACTCTTATGACTTGGGAAGTCCCAAGGATTTTGGGCTCCTTCCCAGGAACTGGCAACAAAGGCCAACCAAATTCTTTATTCTAGGGTTTTAGAAGTTACCTCCCAAGAGCTGGGACAAAGGCCAGATCTCTCTGGGTAAGTTTTTTGTTTTGTTTTGTTTTATTAGAGCACGTGGTGGAAGGAGGGCTAGAGACAGGGAGAAAGAGACGCTTAAGCAGGCTCCATGCCCAGTGCAGGGCCCAACGTGGGGCTCGATCTCACGACCCTGAGACCAAGAGTCAGACACTTAACCAACTGAGCCACCCAGGTGCCCCTAAGATTTTTTTTTTTAAGATTTTTTTAATTTATTCATTTGAGGCAGGGAGAGAGGGAGAGAGGGAGAACACGAGCAGGGGAGAGATGCAGAGGGAGAGGGAGAAGCAGACTCCTTGCCAAGCCGGGAGCCCGACGCGGGGCTCCATCCCAGGACCCTGGGTTTATGACCTGAGCTGAAGGCAGACATTTAACCGACTGAGCCACCCAGGCGCCCCAGTGTTGTTGTTGTTTTTTTTAAATTTGTGAATAGGTATTTCTTTTTTCCCCTCAGTTTTATTGAGATATTATTGACAATAAGCACTGTATGGGTCTAAGGTATACAGCATAACGATTTAACTTACATATATCATGAAATGATTACCATAAGTTTAGTTAACATCCATCATCTCATTTATATACAACAAAAAAAGAAAAATGCTTTTTCCCTTGTGATGAGAAGTCTTAGGATTTACTCTAACAATTTTCAAATATGCCATACAGCAGTGTTAATTACAGTCATCATGTTGTACATTACATCCCCTGCATTTATTCGTCTTATAACTGGAAGTTTGTACCTTTTGACCACTGTCATCCAATTCCCCCTTCCTCTACCCCCTATGGTGACCACAAATCTCATCTCTTCTTCTATGAGTCTGGTTTTGTGTGTGTGTGTGTGTGTGTGTGTGTGTTTTAGATTCCACATATAAGTGAGATCATACAGTATTGTCTTTCTCTAACATTTTACTTAGCATAATGCCTTCAAGACTTATTCATGTTGTCACACATGGCAAGATTTCCTTCTTTTTATGGCCAAATAATATTCCTGTGTGTGTGTGTGCATGTGTGTGTGTGTACAAGTTGTCTATCCATTCATCCATCAGTGGACACTTAGGATGTTTCCATGTCTTGACCTATTGTAAATAAACCTGCTATAAACATAGGAGTTCATATATATCTTCGATGGAGTGTTTTCATATCCTTTGGATGTATTTCCAGAAGTAGAATTATCAGATCATGTGGCATTTGTATTTTTAATTTTTTGAGGATTTTTCATACTGTTTTCCACAGTGGCTGCACTAGTTTGCATTCCCACCAACAGTGCACGACGGTTCCTTTTTCTCCAGGTCTTCGTCAACACTTGTTGCTTCTTGCCTTTTTGATAATAATCATTCTAACAGGGGTGAAGGGGTATCTCATTGTGGTTTTGATTTGCATTTCCCTGACGATTAATGATGATGAGCATCTTTTCATGCGTCTATTGGCCGTTCACATATCTTCTTTGGAAAAATGGCTATTTAGGTCCTTTGCTCATTTTTTAATTGGGTTATTTGTTTCTTTGCTAGGGTAAGTGAGGTCTTCACTACAGAGATGGGGAGACAGAGTTCCTTCCAGAATAGGTGCAGACTTCGAATCCAGATTAACTATTATTTGAAGTAAATGGTGCATACTCTGTTTCTAAGGGAAGGTCCAAGTTTTTGAGGCATTTAAAACCTTGAAGTGCAGACACCCCAGAGGGAAGTCCAGGGTGCAGAGCACATGTCTCAGAGCTTTGGGGTTGAGGGAGAGCTGGACAGGAGGGGAGGTCAGCAGGATTCAAAGCTGTCCATGCACTCAGCAGTTGTTTTTGTGAGTGCATGCCTTCGCTGAGGGCTACACCCCAGGTTTAAGGCTGTGGGGGCAGAAGAGGTATGTAATACAGGAGGCAGTAGCTCAGAAACAGAATAAAGCTTCTTTGTTTTGTTTTGTTTCAGTGGTTAGATAAGGCCAGGGAAAGAAGGGTAAACTTTCCAGAACATCAAAGGGTGACCAGAAGGCCCCCTTACGGGGTAGGAGAAAAGGACCCATCGTCCCTGCAATGTGGCCCATGGCAGCTGTGCCTGTGGCTGGCTGGACAGAGGCCTGGGAGATGGGGCCTGCTCATCCAGGAGGAGAACAGCCACCACCCGCCTCTCCCAGCCTTCAGGACTTGTGCGTAGTGATTACACAAGGCAGGCGGGCAGGCACCGAAGCCCAGGGAGAAGGTGACCGCTCTGCTGGGTTCTGGCTGTGTCAGTCATAGACCCCCTTCCCTTTGGCCTGCGTGAGCGCTGAGAACCAGCCCTGGCTCCTGTGTGGCCTCAGAGCTTTCCCTTCAGACCCTAGAATATAACAGTTTTGAACACTGGGTTTTGGGGTCCAGCAAACAAACCACTTGTCAACTCTATGACCATGAGGAGCTCACTAACTCTCTTTGGGTCTCAGTCTCCTCAGCTGTGCCATGGGAATAATGTGGCTGCCCCTCCTAAGATTCCTGCGAGAAGTGCGTGAGAGGTTCTGTGCAGAGTGCTCGGCACCCATCACTCCCCAAGGTGTGGCTACTGCTGGAGGCTGCCTCAGCGCACGGCAGGCCGGGCCTCCCGACAGGGCTGGCTCCTTGCCTTTCTCAGCCTCCTCCGTAAAGTGGGGGCGATAGCGGCACCTGCTTCATGTGGTTGTTGTGAGGAACAAATAAGTTGGTGTTTCTAAGTTGTCAGAATAGTGCCTGGCACGTACTGAGTGCTCTGTCAGTGACAGCATTGTTGTTATTATTACTGTCATCGTTATTAATCATAACTTCGCTCGGTCACATGACTGTGGTACTTAATCTGTTAGGCCAAGCCGAGTCTGGACAGGGCCAGTGGAGGTTTTGCCCCTGGGACTCTATCCCACACATGTCCCTCCTGGATGTGTCTCCTTAGTCACTGAGGCCTTATCCTTGTTTGGAAGAGTCACCGTTGGTTGCTGCCCGGCGGCCCTCATACTTCGGTCCCTGGAGTCACCGCAGGAAATAGATAGTCCTGGGCACCTTATGCAGAGAGCACTCCATGCAGAAAAGCAGGTGTTTATGAAAATGTTGAGAGGTGGAGGAGCAGGCTGGGCCCAGGACCCTAAAGAAAGAACCCACAGGAAGGGCCGCTGACCCTGGGGCCCCCACTGCCGGTCTGGAGTTCCAGAGCACACAGCTGAGGCTGCAGCCCAGAGGTCTCGGAGCTCCTGCTTCAGCCGTGTCAAGACAC